AAGAGCACTGCACCGAGAGCCTCACCGAGTCATCAGAGAAGTTGTGGGCTGGGGTCAGAAGATGTGAACAGGCTGGGGGTCTAATCAGACCGTTAATAATAACATTGATACCAACATTAGTATTCCCCCAGCTTGGCAGGCTACATGCAGACATCTTTGTTCAGCTAACTCGGCCACCATCTGGGGAGCCATTGCCTTATCCTGGCATTGCACAGGCATGGGGGATTCCAAAAGGAAATCTCTCACATTTGTATCTCACTTTAGCACATGCGAAGGCCACTCACATGCATTGTCCATTTCCTTCTCACAAGTGCCCCGTGACAGAGAGGTTGCTATGATCTTGCTGGAAAAGAAGGGGACTGAGGATAAAAGAAATTAAGTAACTTGCCCACGGCCGTGTTTATGCAATGGCTGAGTAAAAATGTGGCTGCAGATATTCTGGCATGTACCCTGTATTATTAATAATAATAATAACCAATTATCATTTATTATGTGACAGCGCCCCAGACATTGTATTAAGCACTTGACGCACATTTTCTCATTTTATTTCTCACTCAACCTTGTGAGGTAGGTAGCATTTTAACCCCCATTTTATGAGACACAGAAACAGCAGCCAAGCGCAAGGTAGGAACTTTCTCACCAGTTTGCCTAGTCTTGATAACAGAAGGTGGTTCCCCCCAAAGAGTAACAGGTGGGACCTGCTGTTGGAATGCAGGTGAGGGGCGGGGGGCCCAGTGTCAGATGGGCTGATCCAGGGAGGCTTTGGAATGGACTGATTCTGTTTGGTAGGCAGGGAAGCGGCTCTGGGTGTGATGTGTTGAGTGGGAGAAGGGCCTGGCAATGGGGCAGGCTGATGCCAGACTTTGGGGAGCCAGGAACACAGTGGGGAGCCAGGCAGACCCAGCACCTACTGTCTGGGCAGCAGTAGCCGGCTTGGCACTTGGAAGCAGGCCCCGATGTGTGGATTCCAGGGGATTTTCTGGTTCTTTATTGCGGGCGTTCGTTCCTGGTAGGACTGTGGAGTCAGCACTGGGCGCAGGACAGGGAAGGGGCGAGGTGTTCCTTTCTGGCATCTTCCCACGGCCTTTCCCCTTCCAGCTTCTGAGGCCTAGCCCAGGTCAACTGAATACAAAGGAACATGAACAGTTCTGATTTCCTACATTAGTCAAGTCACTTGGAAAAAAAAAAAGCCACCAAAAAATGATTTGGTTCTAGCAAGCACAGATCGGTACCAGCTTTCTTAACAGCCGTGGCCTGGAAGGATCTTCCGGGTGTCTGAGCACAGCTCTCATCTGATCACTGGATTGCCCTTGAGACCCTCCCTCCTTGCACATCGCTGGTGGGGAGGAGCTCATGATGCTTAAGGCAATTCTGGTGGCCTGGGCTCCTGCATTCAGGACCAACACACACACACACACACACACACACACACACACACACACACACACACACACAGTGCTATATGTTCATCCTCATTGGTCTGACTTTAAGATTCAACACCTTGAAAATAGTAAGTCTCACACTTATTTACTTAGTAAATGTTTGGTGCATTTTTCAACAGGCATTTTGGTCAGTTTCAAAGACAGATTTCCTGCATGACCTCTTTGGCCTTAAATAGGTAAGAAGAAACTAGACCATGAAGAATCTGCATGCAATTGAGGTTTAGTTCCACAACCTTACGATTGCTGTTGAAGGATGTTGAGCTGGGGAGAAGAAACATGACATCTGCGTTTTAGGAACATTTTTTTGATTTCAGCATCGATATTATATGGGGGCAAGACTATGTCAAAGGTCACTGTAATGGTTGAGGTGACAGACAGGTAGGCCATGCAGGGGGAGCGGGACAAAGGGCAGGGTGCCCACTGCAGGGATTTTCTCAGAACGTGATTATTCTCACTTACATTCTAACTACAAATATCAGACTCTATCCATGCATGGACAAATTGGGAACCTCCAAATGTCTTTGAGCAGGACAGGGACCTTCCAGAGAGCAGGGCCCACAGTCACTTCCCATGGCAGCATCTCAGGAGAGCCAGCCTCCAAGGCCGGGACCACTGCGCAAGGTCTTCCTTGGAGAAGCAAAGTTCAATCAGGAGTGCTTGGTGTTCGCACCCTCCCACTTCCACGCTGACACCCTGGGAGTACAGGAGACACCCAGAGGAACTGAGGTACAGTACCCAGGCTATTTAGCCCACCAACGTTACAGAGCAAGCAAGAAACTATGAGGTGTGGAAAGTATCTTTAACATAGTTTATATTTGGAAAAGCAGTTTAAAAAAAAAACACTTGAAAATACAAGGTAAGGTAACGGTTACTTATATAAGTTTTAACCTTATATTGCTTGGCCATTTTTACATATAAATTATTGCTTACTAGCTTCCATAAATACACAGCACAGTCCTATATACAGAGGCAGAAAGCATGAAATATGGGAAAGGAAATACTGTTTAATGGCAATTCTGGTAATTCAACAAATGTTTCATATTTACCAGTTCTTATAATGGTGGAAAACTACGAAGTGTAGTCCCTGAGAAGTTAGGTAGACACCCTGATCGCGGGTTTTCTATCTTCTAATTGTTAATGCAAGCTGACAGTATCACAGCAGTCCTAATTAATAATACATTGAAAGGCAAGATTCCTTGCTTCAGGTCATTGATTTCATCCCAATATTTAATAACAGTGTAATACGAATACAATAAATAGACTATGCAAATAAATATTACTCTGCTAAAAAAAGTTTACTATATACAGCTTTGCTTTATACAGTAGTACATTTTCATCTCACTTTTTGGCAATTTTTAAAAACTTTTTCCCCCCCTACCAGTTTTAAGCAAAACTGGCCCACTCACTTAAGAAGCAGGCTGAAATTTTAAGGACATATCTCTGAAACATTTAAAAGAAATCCTGTGTTGGACAACTGCAATGAACCTGATCCTCCCCATTTTAATGTTTTTTTTTTTTTTTTGCCCAGTTTCTGAGAAGCTTGGATTGGCTGTGCCATTCAGGAACACGCAGTCCCAGATCTGTGGTGTTCACGCTGGCTAGGACAGAACTACGATCTGGGCAGCAGGGAAAGCCCAGCTTCCGGGATCTGAAGTTGTCACCAGCACCCTCTCACATTCATGCCACTGTTCCTCCGCCACTCAGAAGCGAGTATGCATTCATGTAACATCCTAACTGCAGGCTGGGCAGGGTGGGCATTCACTTCATCCTCGTGCGTCTAAATTCAATGTATGCTCTGTACTACTTGCTTGTGGGTATTGGTCTAGGAAAATGAGTTTATTCTAAACATAATTAAGCTTACTGGAAAAAAATGAATGTGGGTCATAATATGTATCACTACAACCATTTGGCAATTATACAGATTATGACAAAGAGTGAATTTAAAACACTATAATCTATGGAACATCTGCAAATGTGTATGTAAAAATTAAAAAAAAAAAATGGAAAGGTTGTGATTTTGCCTACAGGAGCCTGCATTCTGCTGTCCTGTGCTAACTGCAAAGCAGGGCTGGCTTGCTGGAATGCTGACAAAAGCCACAAGCCCACAGGACTGACAGTTGTGCTGTGACAAAGAGGACCCACTTAGAAGTGACCGTGCACCACCTGTGGTGGAAGGTGGCAGATCACACAAGCTTTTCAGAGTGAATGGAGATTCTATGCAACCATAAAAACCCAAAAGAGAGCTGGAAAAGAGCTTAGACATCTTCTGGTCCACCCTTCCAGCCTGAATAAAACTGATTCTTGGCGGCCTTAGTGAACAGCCCAGATAGGAGATACGGCTGGGAAACATGTGAGTCCCGCCGTGGCCTGTTCACTGCTGGACAGCTCAGATTGGTTAGAAAGAACTCCTGTTGAGCAAACTCTGGTTCTCAATTTTGCCTTCAATTCTGTAAGTCTGGATTTAAGATTCCTCAAAGCCTCTGAAATTTCTGAGAGTTGCTACCTGGGACATCTCTGGAGATAGTTATTAAATTTCAGAAAGATTTAGAGATTTTTAGACATTCAGAAGACAGGGATGGAAAAGCAAATCTAGACAAAATCCTCGCTTCTCTTTGCTACCCCGAGGGCAACGTGATCATGGCGGGAGGACTTGGTGGGGAAGCACCGCTCTCTCCCCATACTCTGATTACACCACACGAAAATGCGTTTAAACACAGTGTTTGTGTAGCTTCATTTGGCCAAGCACACCTATCTGACTTGGGGTCTAAGCAGCATGCACTATGCTGAAATAGTTCTTTGCCAATTTAGTCCCCTAAAAGTAATGCTTGCCTTGGAGCAAATGTAGAGCTAATGAAAATAAAAATTTAAATTCTAAAATAGAGAGAAATTGTCAAAATGGTCTTATATGATTAGACGGTCTAAACCCTAATTTCTAGAATAGGAAAAAGATGTGCTGTAAGCCCATACCATCCTCATGGGCTGCAGGGGTGGGGGAGGCTTTGGAGTGTTTGCTCAGCCATGAGGGACGTCAGTACCCCTGGTTCTGATGGCTCTGGTCTCCAGGGGGTCTCATTCCATTACAAGCAGCATGAAACATTTCTCTGAGACACCAGCCCTGGATGGTGCCTTTCTATACAACCCTATGTTTCCAGGAGTGAAGTTTTACATTCTGGGCAAGCCTGAGTTTCCGTGGAAGTCTTTCCAAACATTTGCTCTGCATGGTTCCTTCTAGCAATATCTCAAGCTCAGCGTGGTTCCTGAGCCCAGGAAACAGCACTGTCATAAAGATGTCAGAAAGCACTGGGCATGCCTCAGTAATGAAGATGAACTAGGTGCTGATGGGACAAAAAGGACAAAAAGGAAGCAGGGCCGATGGGGCCCCTCAGAGAGCACAGGCAGGGATGGGGAGAAGAACACCGAGACTCTGTGTCCAGGCAGCGGATGGGCCCCAACTGGTAAAAATGGGAATAATAAAAAAAGGACTCAGAAGACTTTGAGATTTTGAAATTTAACAAAAGGGCAAATTATAGAAAGGCTCCCTGCTTTGGCTGGTAGGTGGGCCACAGGACTTCTAAGGCTCCAGCATAAATCAGACATTTGGGTATTCCTGGGCGCTCTGCATTTGCTGAAAGACTGGTAATCTCCACTCCCTTATTACCGAGCTTTATCAGAGAGTGCTAAGCGCTTCACATGTCAAACCTCACGTCACCTCCCTGCCTGGCTGCTGTCATCCTGCACTGTGGGCAAGGGGCCTGCGTGAGGTATCAGGCACAAGAATGCAGACCTGTCACTCGGTCACCTCAATTGAGCAGTTACTGAGCTCCAACAATGTGTCAGGCACCGTGCTTTTTAAAAAAAATCATATCATGCCCCATGAAAGATAAGAGCCTGCTTACGAAATGTAAAGGAAATCTCCGGAAATGAAACATTGAATCAATTTCTTAAACATCACTATTTTTGCTTCTCGGCAAAGCAACTTAGTCTACCTTGCCTATAGCTGCAAATCAGTTGTACAGAAACTATTTTCACCTGCGAGCATGTGTTGGTAAGTGATCGTGGTGCAAAGTAGTGCATGCCTCGATGTTTCTTATATGCAAGTCAGAGCATGGGAGCCAGCCGTGGCCTCACTCACTCCCTAGACACAAGTGGCTTTTGGTGATGTCACAGTTCCTACTGACAGAGACCTCTCCTTCTCCCTGGACATCTGGAGATGCTGTCGCTGTCTTTAGGTGTTCAAAAGAACTACTCCTTGATAGCCTAGAAAGAGTAATTCTAACACCAGGCAAAGAAAAACTCCTCCTCGTTTCGTGCACGCTCTTACTGAAATATTCGGTCATTATATACGTCAAGATGCGTTTTGTTGTCTTGGTGCTGACAAGTCTCAAATTGAAAACTGGACTAGGATCAACAACGTGCTCATGAGAAACCAGACTTTTCCATCTCCAGAATGTGTCTGAGTCTCTTGCTGCCTTCTTGCTCTGGGAGTAGCGTGGAGAGGTCTCTCCCCCTGTCTGGTGGCTGACATTCCTTCCTGAACGCGCTTTGGCTGGCTTTCCCGGGAATGTCTTGGGGTGTACTGATAAAACTCAGCAACTTCTTTTCTCACAGGAAAGCAACGTGCTTGGCATGGACATTCCCGTAGCTCAAAGTGCTGCAGTCACAGGGGAGGTGAGGCGGAGGGGCTCACAGCCGAGGCTCGATCCGGTGGGAGAGCTCGAACAGGGCCTGCTGGCTCTCGATGACGTATAAGTGATTCACGTAGGACTTCAACTCCTGGTGCTCTTTTGGAGACAGGTCACCTCCTGTTTTGTAGAAAACAAAACAGACAACCTCAGGAGAACAGTAATGTTATTTCTGAATACCAGTAAAACCCACACTAAGGCTTGGAGTAAATCCACCAGGTAGGTTCTCATTAGTTGGAATCCCAGAAGAGGCGTCCTTTGCCCTAACAGTGGAAATGCTGTTTCAGCTCAGACTGGATTCCTGAGGTCGGCAATCAGACCGGCAAGATATTTATTTATTACCTAATATTATATACTATTTAGATACTATAGTATCCTGCGCCACAGATGAGGAAATTGAGCATAGTCACAAGCAAGTAAGTGGCACAGCCATGGCTTGGACCCAGGTTACACCGCTCCTGGGTCCAGGGTCTGAGCAACCATGCCGTGCAGACTTCCATAGCAACTGCTCGTTTAAATGACCTGCACTGTCCTTATATTTCAGTCTGCAATCGTCAAAAATCACTAATCATGTGTTTGGCATAGGAACCCAATTGCCTTTATTTTTATTTATTTATTTTTTTTTCATTTTGTACATTTCTTTGGTGTCCTTTTTGGAAAAAAAAATTTAATGGAGTAATTGAATGAACAAGTACCAAAGAACAGACCGTAAGGTGTGGTTAACAGGCAAAGTAGGTTCAGAAAGTATGTGTATGAACTAAAGTCTACCCAGAGAAGAACAAAGCAAGGGGGTTCTCCGATCACATATTCAGAGCAGTCAAAGAATCGAGGGTCTGCAAGAAGCTTTAGTGCACTGTGAACACGTGTGTGCCATGTACCCGCAGCTCTGATAAGGGACTAGAGATAAAGTGGAAATGGACAATGAGGCGAGCCCATGTTCTGCAGTCAAAACAAACAAAAGATAAAACCATCGAGGCATGGGGATGTTGGCTGACCACCTCGCTACAGTAAGACAATGTAAATGTGAGTGGCGATGACGTCACATCCTCTTGCTTCATGGATTACAGACGGGCCAGGCGGAGTGGGCTATTGGAGGTCAGCACGAGTGGAGGGAAGGGGCCTGGAGGAGGGTGGGCATTTTACTGCAGCATTTTTTTCTCTTTGTAAAAACACCACTTTTCCTCCTCTTTGACGGATGCATTTTATGAGGAAATGATTTAAGACTTGTAAGTCACGGGTGACTTATAACTCTTAGGTTTAATAGAAACAAGTCTTCCTGGTTTCAGCAAATAAAAGCACCAGGAATTAAAATTTTTTACCATTCCACCTGTTTGGATGTGACCAAAAAGCTGTACTATTCTAGATGCCTTCTCTGGAAAACACTGAGAAACTGCTTTTGGTTTTGTAAACACCGGTTTGGAAAACATGATGCTACAAAGGTAACTTTTGTTGTTAATTTGCAAGCCTTAAAAAGATGGCAGAATGAATGATCCCAAACATGACAGCTGACACTTGCATGGCACTTTATAAGTGGCTTGATTAACTTTTTATTTTATCCCAAATGCTGACATTGGTTTACTATGTCCATATAAACTGTTAAAATGAATTCAGATAATTCAGTCCCAAACTGAATTTTTAAACATACCTTATATAAATATTAGAACACAAACTGGCTTGATAGTTATTTAAATTTCTCCTTTGGTTAGTGCTATGCAGAGAGTTACTGTCCGGTGACTGGGAGGTTGAAGACCAGCCGAGGCCAGCCAATCCAGTATAACCTTCCTGTCCATACTTGAAGCATATACAATTAGAGTCCCTTGGTAAGTGAGATTGATATCTTAGAATTAACTGAATATCCATAAATACTTGGGAAGCAGAGGAGGATGAAGCCATATTTAGCAGCAACGTTATGCTTGTGCATTTGAATGAATTTCCATGACAATGTTGTTATTACTGTTTCTATTATAACTGCATTGTACTTGTGCACTTAATGAAGAATTATATCAGCACATATAGAAGGTATTAATTGATATGAGATTTAAAAAATTAAGTCCTATATTTATAATTCTCCTTTTCAAACAGAAAAATCATAATCTATATAGAAGTTCAGTTCCAAATTTGCTTTGTTGGGGGCCAATATTGTTAGCCAAGACCAACACTGAACAGAAAAAAAAAATTCTTAAGGATGTGTACCAAATTGTTAGTAGTACCTTCCTTGGGAGATAGGACTTTGATTTTCTACTTTATAGATACTTCTATATTGATGAAAAAATTGTTTTACAATGGGGATGTATTACTTAACAAACTAAGTTTTACTTAGTGGCCACCTTTTATTAATTTATAACTATTGAACTCAATTATTTTTCTTATTACCCTTTATATCTATAGAATCCGCAGAGAGCAAAGGGAAGGGCCTGGGCAGGAAGTCGGCAGACTCAGGGTGAACAGTGGCTGAGTAGGTGAATCTCTCTGAGCCTCAGTTTCTGTTCTGCACCTACAGGGTTAATCCTGTCCACTCATTTGCTAGCTCTTCTGTCAGGATTCCACTGCCCATGTGAAAGCTCCTTCAACTCAATAAATTGATTTCCTTCCTTCCTGCAATATTCTAACACCATTTAAACAGTGTAAATTATGCCAGAGATTTAAAATGGAACAAGTATTCCTACATAACATTTGTCTCAGTTGGGATTCTACAAAAGTGCTCAGAGAAACACTTTTTCAGCTGAAAGGCACCTCTGGACAGGAAGTTTTTGTTGGAGAGAAAAAGATTCTGGAAGCTTCTGTAAAAGTGCTTTAAGCACTTTTACAAACTATAGTTCTATTGCGGGAAGGCTCCAGGCAAGGAAGTTAGGGACCGGGTCACCCCTGCTAAACCCGCCAGCAATTCTGAGCCAATGAGGAAGCAAAGCAAGACTTTCTGGGGCCAGCAGTGGGGTGGGAGCTTCTGACTGTCTAAAGTCACTCTGTACAGTGCAAACCTGCTGTCATGAGGGGATAGTAATCTGCTGTATCCTATCTTTCTCTGCATCCCAAACATGCGGTGAAGAAACAAAGAGAGCATTATTATATTATATATGCATTATATTATATGCATATTATATGCATACAATATGCATACATATAGACCTATGGTACTTTCCAATCTGTTTAAGTTTGTTACCACCAAAGACGTGTGATACAACCACGGTCGGTACCAAAGCATAGTCAAATCAGAAGATTCTGCACTTGACTTCAATTACTCACCAAACTGGTTAGTCCTGCAGTGTCTCAGGGTTCGGACAGTGTCTGCAATCATGTGCTGGAAGGCAGAGCAGAAAACACATCAGTGGAAGTGTCACTGAGGGTGCTGTTGCAGCAGCAGTGCCTGCTAGGATGGGCGGGGAGTCTAACACCCTTGAGTGTAAACACGAGAGCTACATTTGGAGCTGGACATAACTTTAATTGAGTCTACTGAGCCTGGATGACAAAAGAACATTTCGTCCTTGTCTGCAGGAGCAGTAGCACCCAAACCGGGGGCACAGATCCTGACCGAGCCACGAGAAGCACAGTGTGAGGCGACGCAGCCCTCCCTGACCCACACGGGCTCCTGCCTTTCATTTCAGGGCGTGTGTCGCCTTCTCGCCATGAAGCCTCTCCGAGATCCGCCTTCTGGACTTGGAGGCTCCACCCTCAACATGCCCACTCTTCTTTGCGCAGTGTCTACTGGCTTTGTGTCATTGTCATTGCTGCTGAACTGTTGTCCTTCTCCAGACCGGGAACCACCAGTGGGGTCTGCGTGCCCAGCACCTACACACAAAGGCTCACACGTGTGCTGAGTGGAGGGGGCACTTTTTGTGGACTCAAAGGCTCACGTATGTATCTCACATGGTGACTGGAAATGAGACACATACCAGAGATGGGCATTTTCTAAAATATCAACATCCTTCTAGAGACCATTTTCTGTTCATAGTTTACATTCCTTTATAGTCTCTGGTATTCATTCTAATTTAATTCTTTCTTTAAAGTTCTCACTGATCTCCAGGCAAAATTCTTCTTAAATGTACAGCTGCTTAAATGTACCTACAATGTACTTCTAGCTGTTTCTACCGTTTTTAGTTTTCCATGATGAAGGAAACAGCATTTTGGAAGAAACCATTCTCCACTCTAGTTCCTCCTACGTAGTTGCCAGAATAATCTCTAAATGCCGTTGTCATCACGATCTCGTCCTCCAGAGCACTTACAGTAACACCTCACTTTGTTTCAATCAAAATCCAAACAAAATCCTATCATTCAAGCATCAATATCATTCATGGTCTGGTCCTCCAAACCTCCCCAACGGGGCCATCATTTTTCACGTCACGCCTGCACACAGGATCACCCATCTACAGCAAACCCTCAATGAATTATTGCTGAAAGAAGAATGTTAACACTAAAAAAGTTTCTTACTTAAAATCCAAGAGAACTACAGGAACATTATTTGAATATGACCTACTGATTACATTGTTCTCCCAACCGTATTTCTAAGGCACTTCTGTTCAATAGTGGAAAATGATGAAATAGGACAGCGATTACAGCAGTAGTTCAAGCTGCATTTGTAAAGGAAAGGAGACCTGACTCATGTCTGTGAAGGCATTGTTAAACTTCCTTCCCCACATGTGACCACTATTCCCAGGACAGTTTTCTTGTTGTTTTAAGCTGTGGCGTCACATCGATTTCTATCATGTGCCATTTGCGTAGCTCGGGCCAGGCTCAAACTGACGTAAGGCTCGCTACTGAGTGTGGCCTTGAAACCTGAGCCCTGATCCTCATCTTTAGGATCTCTGAAGGGGGAGGGAGGGAGATATGGTAAGAGGTGATGCTCTTAAAACAGAGGGATGTTTCTTCATTATTTAATGGGTTGAGACACACACATTTCCAGTTGCTGAGGCAGCAAGGAACTTAGCATAGGGAACAATAGAACAGCTATTTAAGCCCCATGAGCACTTCTGGAACTTTACGTGGTCTGACTTAATGCGTTGGCCTGTATCAGCCAGATAAAGATAACACCCTGAATTATCTGCTGGCTGGCTTAAGTTAATCTCCATCGTGAGGAACTGACTCCTCACAAGTTAATTCACTTAGGTTCTATTGGTTCATTATAGTGAAAGATGATCCTGCTTTAAGTGAAACCCTGTCCTTTGCTAAAGAACATTCCTAGAAAACAGTGTCTCTCTGAGTAAAGGTCAGTCTCATTCTCCAGCATCCAAGTAGATTATAGGGCTCCTTGTGATGTAAAATATTTTTGTCCTTCTGAAAAAATTCTAACTTTACCCTGTCTTCTCCACGTAAAAAATCGTCAGCAGGAGGCACTGAGGGCCAGGAACTCGCTGAGCCCACGAAGCCTATGCCCTCAGAAACCAGGTGCTAGCCCTGCGCGATGGTTGTGTGTACACTCTGGGTCTGGCGCAGGCATGCACAACTGCACCCATTTTCTCTCCTTTTCATAAAAGTTCTCTTGAGGAATTTCAAACAGAGTGTTATTTACGCCATGCTATTTCCTTAAGTTTTCTTAAAGAATTAAGGGTACAATTAATTGACCCTAATAGAAGCAATGTTGTTTAGACTTCCTTTCAGCCCCTACGGCTAGTTGGAAGTCTTAGCATGCATCAAAGCTGGCATCGAAAGGCTTCCGTTGGATTGTTGGAGAAGCAGGGGAGGACCACGGATGCTGGTCAGAAGCAAATAATGATGGTTTTTTTCCACTGCTCTCTCCCATCTGTGCCTTTAAGGAATTGTTCTCTCACTTTGGTGACACTAGGTGAGGGAAAAATGACAAGAGGAATGCAACCAATGCACAGGTTCACCCTAGGGAGAAGGCAAGCCACCAGTCTGCCCTCAACAGCAGCCACAGTCGGCACATAGAGAGGGCGACTGTTTTCCCATGTCCCCTCTGGATGAGTCAGAGGGGAAAAAATCGCTAGACCTGTACAGGGAATTCCACTTGGTGTGACACATGTCATCCTGCATCTTGATAGATGCGCCACAAAGCTCACTTGGTGTTCCTAGCCAGGTGTGATGGCCAGGAGGCAAAGTACATATTGAACAAAGGCTTCATGTTCTCAAAATCATTTCACTAACACCAAACCCTGTAGATAAACCTGTTAGAGACAAGACTTCTAGTGCTAACAGTCGCCCTGTGATCTTCAGAACATCACACAGCAACACAAAACCAGCACAAAAACATATACACTTTATCCACTTCCAGCTCTGATGGTTTGGCTGTAGCATCTAAAATAAATGAACTCTGATTCCAAAACACTTAGTGCAGAGACGGACTTGAAACTTTACAGCCATAACCACTTCCAAAATATCCACAAAGTCATCGTCTTCTGAGTGCTTAAAACAGAGCTAGAGCAGCAAGAAATCCTGAGATGTCTGCACTCCAGACCCCAGATGCCTGGGTTGTGCAGCTGAGCAGAAGCCGATGACACTGTTCCCGTGACCTGTGGGGACTCAGCCTGATGATGGTCAGGCGCCAAAGCTCAGCTGGAGTCATCGGCTTGTACTGTTCTTTGGTCATGGTCTGTGGTCCCTGTCTCCCTCAACCCTCTCTCAAGGGCCTGACCCAGTCTCACAGGGAACCAGGGTCAGTTCCTGAAAGAGTTCACACAAATCCATCACCATCACTGAAAAGGTCACTCAAAGGTCAGGATCCGCGGAGCAGGGTTATTGCTATCATCTCTAACCATGAAGGACAGTTTAATCTATGACACTAAAGTTCATCTGTCAGACGGATTCGTTCCTCTTGCAGACAAGCAGGTCCCTTTGGAGCACTTCTGTTTTACAGTTGCTCTGTTCTTATAGGTAACTCTTCCCTTGCCTAAGGGCAAGTCACTCGGGACAAAACATTTGGGAATGTCCTGGAGTGAATTCAGGAAGAGGGATGACCTGGGGACCTCTAACTCATGAGCAGGGAGGGCACTTTGCCCGAGCTGCTCTGTCCACGGTGTTTAGAGGTGGCACCGTTTGTCCATGGGCTGATAAGTGGGCAGCCTTTCCCTGCACACACAGACCTTGCAAATTCCAGCCTCACATCCAAGTGTGGAGTTCTGAGAGACAGACAGATGCACCTCCCCAGGGGGAGAACTTTCTCCCTCCCTGCCTTGACAGCATGCATGCTGAGAAATCGTAAGATGACTCGAAAGCAGTAAAACTTAATCTCATGAGTGTGAGTTCCTCCTGATAGGAACTTTACAGTTTTATTTCTGGTTCAGTGATATACACTCAACCCTTGACATTAATTTAATGGAGTTCCTTTTTCTTTAATAAATAAAAAGCAGATTTTCATGTTTGGTTCTCAAAAACCCGGCTAGCATATTTACTGTTAATCGGAATACATTGTATTGACAATGTACAACATGCAACAAATAAACTCCCGGGAATCACCCTGCATTCAACGGAGAAAAGTACCGAAGCCATTTATCTCCCGGGGCAGACAAGACACACACACATTGCCTTTACAGTGGAAAAAGGAGAAACAGTGAAAGTTACGTACCAGCTTTTCAAAATTGACAAGATTATCCAAAAAAGTTTTATTTCCTTCGTGAATAAATGTCACATCTGAAAATTAGAAACAAAAAGATATATGTACCATTAGGAATGGATCACAACTGGCTGCCAGGGCTGAAGAGGTTGACACGCAATGCAACTTATACAATTTTCTTAAATGTTATGGATCATTCCACGCACTTGGCAAGCAACTTGAAATTGAATTTGTACAGTATGTAATGTGAATGTGCATAATTTTCATGCATGTGTGGAAAAACAGTGTAATGCTACTGAGAGTATATATTTTATACTCACAGTGAAGTGTTTGACATCAACCTACTTAATATACGATAACACTATCCTATAACTTAATTGTTCCATTATGTTTTTAGGCCAGAATACTGAGCAGAAAAGGACCAAATACCCAGAAACAACAGGATTTTAGTAATTACGTGTTTGCTTTTTAAAAAATGCCTAGCAAAGTATATTGGACTTGCTTTACTTAAAACAGTTAACATTTAGATCTAGATATTTAAAAAGTTTTTGGTTCTGAAAGCTGGCACCTGACTGTGCACCAGAAGTGAAAAAAGAGGCAGTTTTGAAAATGGCAAGATTTCTGGCACCATTCGACTGGTAGAAAGAAAGCATCACTGACAAAAATAAAATAAGGAGAATAGGAGGAAGGTGCATTTTCGAGGAGAAAACTTGGTTAAACTTGGTTTGAGACTCTGCTTTTAAAGGGATGAATGATGTTCATTTAAAAAAAAAGTCTCCCTTTGGCTGCAATAATCAAAGGGAGTGCTTCCTCAGGATATCCAGATTTGGGAATTAGCTACATTAAAGGTAGCAGGTGAGGAACTTAGCCAAACTCAGATCAGAGGGTTGATGACTGAGCATTAGGGAATCTTCACAGACGAGGAACACAAAGAGAAATACACTGCAGTTTATAGCACATGCAAATAATCATGTTATGTCAGAGATGGAGGGCCAGGTAAATAAAAGTAATCTTCAAAAATCTTGTTTAAGTAACCAGATAGAAAAGAGGAAAAAGAACATGAATGAATAGAAGGGAAAACATTTGCATTTAATCAAGACTCTTCTTCTGCCGTTCCCTAATTATGAGATGGGTGCTCCTGAAATGTGCCTCCGAGTTTTGACAGCAGCCGGGAGGTGACACTCGGTCACAGCACACCCTTTTCTCAGGCCCTCCCTAGGCACAGCTTCCAGTATGCACTGCATGTTTTCATGAGCTTTTTTCCCTTCTTTTTTTCTTTTAAACTGATGTCCTAGTAGGAAAATGATTCACAATTAATTACGCAGTCTTCTGACAAACTCGCTGGTTATTTTATTATCTTTTGCAATTTTGCTTTCAGAAAATAATTGCGAGCTTTCATTCTGAGACACAATATTTAGAAAAGAGCAGTCAACACAGTTAGTTTTTACCTTTTTTCTGTATAGCAAATAAAACCCTGTGTGTACTCTGTCTACACTGACCACCACCTAGCAGCCTGGCCTTTACTAACTCTTGATTGCAAACGCCCTCTCAGAGTCACTTGGCCCATTTCTCCAGTGTTACAGGGTTTATCTTCCAAGCCCCTCACTCCCCCATGCATGTCTCGGTGGTTATGAGGGTGGTGACAATATTACCAGTGTCAGGGTTGGCTCTAAGTGCTTTAGCTGCATGGACTCATTTAATCCTCATAAAAGACTATAAGATAAACCTAGGAGGTAAGCACATGAAGAAACTAGGGCTAAAGGTATGGTATAAAAGACCACCACCTCCAAAAATAGCACAATGCATACACTACTCAGCTGTATCTGACCCTTAGCTCAGCTGGGTCTTTTCCCCAGCACTTACTTAGGGTTTTCCATCATCCCCTTCTGATCAGGATTCCACACCATAGTAGTGGGAAAGTACATCCAAAGGCAAGAAATTCAACTGGGAAAAAGGAAAACTGATGGCAGGAAGGATTCTCAAGTAATACACTTACTTGACCACCTGCATGCTTACTGAGAATTGACTATATCAAAAAATGAAACATGGGAGGCCTAATCCTTCCTAAACATCCAAGGAGTTCAATTTGGTCCCATTTCTCTAATTAAAAGCAACTCATCATAGAAGGTACAAGAGAGGGAAGAAAAAGAGATATTAAAAATTAAGCTGGTTGCTCTAAAATAGTTCATCACAACTTTAAAAATGATTATAGTTTAAAAACCTAAGAATTAATGTGTATTTTTGCCAAAATGCCTCATCTCAGGCATGACACACACACACACACACACACACACACACACACACACACACACACACACACACACAGAGTTGTCCAGAAAGTACCAGCCAGTGTTAATATATTTTTCATATTGCATGGCTGGACACTTTCCAGACAGCCCTCTATATTTTAAATTTTCATCCTATTTTCTTTGAAAATTATTTTAGACAAAAACAGTAACTTTAAAAGCCAGGTGCAGTGATGCACACCTATAGTCCCAGCTGCTCTAGAGGCTGAGGTGGGAGAATCTCATGAGCCCAGGAATTCAAGTCCAGCCTGGGCAACATAGCAAGATCCCATCTCAAAAAAAAAAAATCTATGACACTTAAAAACAATAACTTTAAATACAATGGAGTACCATTAATAATACTATTTTTATAATGACAAAAATTAAGATAAAGAAAAAATAAGTGTTTATTTAAACTCAAGAAGGCTTTAATGAAAAAAAGAAAGAATATTTACTTCTTGTTTTTGGAATGAGTGAATGTATTTTCAGTATAAAAAGGGAAGTCTGTCTTGCTGCCAACAAAGAGGTCTAGATAGACTCAGTAGAGCAGAAAATTACATCCAAGCTAAGATGTACATATGAGACACTTGACTACATTAAATATTTTGGGGGGGGGAATCCACTTATATATAGCAGAGAGCTCTATTCATATCTAATTAAGTTAAAGGAACACTATCAACTAATTTCTCTTTACCTTATATTCATTGTTTCGAATTTTTTTCTTTCTAAAATCAATTCTTTCTTATATCTGTCCTCATTTTCTACCGTCTCTATTTGTGTCTAAATGATTCTAAGTGTTACTTCCCACCTGCCGCCTCCTACCCTCCAGGTGAAGGCATTTTATTTTGCAAATAAAAAGCATAAGCCCGAATAAACTTATCTTATCTGAAAAGCAAGTAAATACGAAGAACCAAATCAACTTTTAAATTGTTATTTGGGCATTGCAATCTCTCTTTATTTCATCTGTTTATATTTAACAGAATCTCTCACCTTGAACGAAGCATTCGTGCTTCTCTCAATTGTCCTAATATTATTGTATTATTCTTTCACAGAGATTCTTGATTTATATTTGATGAAGACTAAAGGAGTAGCTGCAGGGATGCACAGCAACTCACAATAATTCTCCGAGCTCTGGCTGTTCTCGAGAGCAGCTGAAGAGGGAGTGTGGGCTTTATTGCCAGTGGGGGTGGGAGTGGGGAAGGTGGGGGCTGAGGATGGCCAGGCCAACCAGCGATCCAGTTCCTGTAAGACTTAGTTCATTTCTAGAATCACAATTATGGGTCCAGTTGCTGAGGCCTAACCCAGAAGTTACAGGCTTCTGAAGAGCAGAGGTTGGATGAAGGGGTATTCCTATGAAACCTCCAGAAGGAATCAAAATGTGACCAAGCACAATACCCAAACCCCCTTTCCCTACAAAGCATACAGGTACAGATATACACTGAATGTCGGCAGTACAAGCTAGATCAAAAGTAGTTACCTTTTTATTAATCCCATTAGTTAGAAAGAGAGATCACTGAGATCTCATCAGTAAATGTAACATGTTTCGTGATGGATTATTTAGTGCACTACAGAAGACAGGTCATGGCTGGGCATGGTGGCTCACGCCTGTAATCCTAGCACTCTGGGAGGCCGAGGTGGGAGGATCGCTGAGCCCAGGAGTTTGAGGTTGCTGTGAGCTAGGCTGATGCCATGGCACTCTAGCCCCAGCAAGAGAGTGAGACTGTCTCAAACAAAACAAAAAAAGAAAAAAAAAAGAAAGAAAGAAAAGAAAGAGAGAAGAGAGGACAGTATACTGACTTGGAGCTGTCCAATACTTTCCCAACTGCATTCCACTCTTTGAAAGAGGAAAGCACACTTTCCATCAATACCTTTCATACACTATATTGCTTATGTTGACCAAAGGTTAATTCTCACACAACAGCAAACTTTGGGCTGCATTTCTAAAGTTGCAAACATAGAGCATGATTGATCACCATTTGGGTTCTTTATGCCAGCCTTATTCTTGGTTGAATTCAGTGCATTTGTAGACTCAAAGAAAATAATACAGGGCTTAGAAGCAGAGTGAAAGAAAAACACAAGTTTCTAGTGCCCAGTTTTGTGAGTCAAGTGAAAATGCTTTGATGTCTGCTCAAGCACAATTAAGTATTCTAGGTACCTCAAAAATAACTGAGCATTTGAAAAATGATCATAAGTAAACACAAGTAGGTCTGAATGCCAAAACTACTGTAAAGAAATAAATGGAGAGTCCTTTAATTGCCCTCTGTAGTTTGAGTGACAAATTTCTGGAAGATGGAATTACAGAGCATGAAAGATAAAAAATTGTTACCTTTAAGCAGTAAGGGCATGAAAGGGATTTTTGGTGGCTTCATCTTTTTGAATGCATCTCTGTAGGCTTTGTGATTTAGGGAAGGATCCTGCAGAACCAAGCAGATTACAAAGACAAAGAAAAATCAATATGCCATAGAAAGAATTCTAAATCCACTTTTGCTATACAGTTTGAACATGATTTAGATATCGAGAGGTTCTTCCTAAGAATGAAGTAGATAAAGGTTTCCTATGAGAATACTCACTAAATTAGGGCAGGAAATCTAGGCAATGAATGAAACTCAAGTTATTGGTTTACAATAATGGGAAATGACTGCAAATGGGAGATACCTTTTGATTGCCCTATTATTTTCCTCAAATAGGTTCTTTAAGTACAGTTTCTTCTGCATAATTTCTATCTTGAGTTAACCCGACATCTTTTGTTAGGTACACTGCCAAGAAAAACTGCCCTCATCATGCACAGACAATACAGAGAAAACAAGAGAATACTGTTTGATTGTACTCTATTATAAAAAGAAACTATAAATTTTGTATCTAAATTGTTAAAAAGGAGAAAAAAAAGAAAAGAGTAATGCATAAAGCACTAATTGCATGCTAAATTTATACTGATTACTTCTGTAAGCTTTGAAATAGACTATTTTTAAAAATCTGCCTTCTGAAAAAAAAATCACACTAAAAGGATTATTCTCACCACCATTTTTCACGGAGAGGAAAAAGCATTAACTGTCAAATAGCTTCCCTCCATGAGAAGCAAAGTTACATTTTTATGTACAAGTAAACTAGTCTAAGCTACCTGACACTGTGGAGTACAGATACTAACCACTGAGATCTAGAAGGAAACTGGACGCTAGCAATGAATTTGAAAGAATAGTCCCCTTTGGCTCAACTACTTACGGTTAAACTTTCGAGTTCAGAGAAAAGTTTCTTAAACTTCCCAGGGATTTTCTACAAAACAAACAAAAGGTCACAGAAGTTAGTTATTTTGAGAGGCACCGAAGGCAGTTTTCATTAAGTTATGCTTAACTGTGTCACATTTATCAACATAAATAACCTCTATCATCTGGTTCTACCCTGATTGCTTCTCATTATGCAATTTTCATCATCCCTTTAATGTGACATTCCTTAGGAATATTGTTAAAAACAATTTAAAATAGCATCCATGTGATTCAGGAATCTAGCTGGTTAGATACTCCACACATTAGTGATTATTTAATAAAAACTTAGATTTCAGTTACACACCCTACCTTTGATGAATGCTCTCATCTTCTTAATAGCCTGGCTGAGTGGGAAATAATAATGTTGGCTGACATAAATGATATAATTGTATTTCACAGCAGAGAGCTAAACAGTGAGGGGCCATGAAGACCTTAAGGGACGAAGCCTGCGCTTCAATGGGTAGAATCACTGAATTGTGAAACTCAACCACATCAACAGGTGGCATGCAAGAAACAACAGAGGATGGGAAACCCATGCTATCCTCCCAAGTAAAAATTCAGGCATAAGGAAGATGGGTCTGAATGTTCTAGCCTGCCTTTAACAGGAGTAAGTAAAAAACTGAATGTCTTTCATACTGACTTAGTGGTAAGCAGCATGTACTTGAAGTCAGCTGATTCTGAATCCTGACTGTGCCCCTCTCTAGCTGTGTGGTTGGGTGTGAGTCTCCAGGCTCTCTGATCTGTTTCTCCAGCTGAGGATACAGACACATGCCTGAAAAGCATACAATCCAAGGCTGGCTGGTGCTTAGCAAATTCCAGCTATTAACACGAACAAGAATATTCAAGAAGATATTTGTGGGATTTTCTTTTTCTAAAACGAATCAAAACAATGAGGCGAACCTCATGATAATTAGACTCTTACATTATGTAGAAGTGGATTTTTCAATTTGATAATTTTGCATCTGCACTCAGTGTGACACAGCAAACAGGTAATTTGATCTGTTTTGGAAACTACTGCCATACACAAATGCATACATGCACACATCAATGAATGGAGGACAAGTTAAGTGAGAAGATAAAAAAATGGAGATTTCTGCAAGTGATTCCAGTCTTTCTTCAGAGCTGCATAACTTAGTCTGTTGGACATTCCACATGCATGTCCCAGTGGCACCTCAAATTCAACATGTCCAAAGCCAGACTAACTGATCTATTGCAGAGGTCAGCCACGGGCCAAATCTGGCCTTCTCCGGCTTTTGTAAATGAAGCTTTATTGGATTACTGCCATGCCCATTCTTTCCCATATTAACTATGGCTGCTCTTTCACTCCAGTGGCAGTCAAGAAGTTGCAACAGAGACCACGTAAAATATTTACTAAATATTTACTCACAGCCTAAAAATATTTACTCTCTGGGTCTTTGCCAAAGAAGTTTGCTGACCTCTGATCTCGTCCCTCTAACATACTTCTTTTCCTATATTATCTATCTGGGACAGTGTGACCACTTTCCACTCAGTCACTGACTTAGAGATCCTGTGGTCACCTCTGCCTGGGATGGCCACCCTCACCCCAATAACTCCCAGCTCAACCTCCCAGGCCCTGCTGCACGGGGACTCCCATTACAGTTTTCTCAGCTACCCTGGGGCAGAATGAGTCCCTCCACTTGCTCTGCCTGGGTCCAGGACTCCTTTCACTGCAGGACACTTGGTTCTAGAGTGTCCATTTCCTATCTGCCATGGCACTGACCCAGCACCCTGCACCTGGTGGGCAGTCACCATGCAGATTAAATCGTTTGATTTCACTGAATGATTTCTCCTCCTAATTTTTGCAAATCAAAGTTTCTTTCAAGGTTTAATTCAAATTCACTAGCCATCTGTTTTCCTCCTGCTCTGATCAATCATGGCATCCCCCCCCCATCTCCTTTAATCTTACGATGTGTGGGAACATCTTGTTTGCTTAACCAGACCAGGCAGGTCTTTCATTTCTTTTCTTTTGAATCCCTGTAAGGGGTGCTGACTGTGACCCTTGGGTCACCACAGTGCATCCCATGAGGGTATGGGCCCTGCCTGAAAGGAAATGAATAATTTCACTTACCCAGACACCGACCGATACTGAGAAAAAAATAGTTAACCTATCGTCTTTTCTCTTGTAGGAGGAGTTTGAATTGGGAACCATGGAGGGAATGGCGCAGTCAGTGATAGGAACTCAATCTGAGAGGACAATGGAGAGAGGCTAAGGTGACCACAGGGAGCCAGAGGCAGACTGGAGCCAGAAGGGAGGAGGTGTGATGCTTATCTAGAAATGACCAGGGAGAGAAATGGTAGAGTGAGGCGGCCAGTCTGCAAGGACAGGAGAGTGAAGGAAACAAGAGCCCAAGGAAAGAAGGGAAGGGGGCCACAGGAGAGGCAGAGAGTCCTATGTCTGTGTCTGGCTGGGTTTAGGGGCTTCCCGGTTCCAGGGCTTCCCACACACAGACTCAGAGTCTGCGCATCAGAACTTGTGCTAACTTGAGCGGGCCTCGCCTCTTATGACCCCAGTGGCCGCCATCATGCAAAGAGGCTGAGCCAGGATTTGGGAGGCCTGTGTGGATCCTCTTTAAGAAAAAAAAAAAAATACAAAATTGCTTTAGAAGATTTTACAAGAATACACATCATCCATGTGCATTCGTTGTCAGGGGCCCCACAACTAAGAGGCCCTGACACTTGGATTCATTAGCACCACAGCACATTGGTTTCTCAGCACACATCATTGCACAGGCGAGACTATAAATGACCAGCATGGAACTGGAACCCACTACCAGACAGCACGGAAGGGAAGACTAATTGTAGCTGGGGAGCATTTTGCAATTTTTATCTTTTTCTGTATATACATTATAGAACCATTTTAAAGACAGCTTGACCGAAATGGTCCCTGCCACCCTTGACATGTTACTTTTGAACATTTTTAGTCTAGTAGTACGTACCTCGTTGAAACCATTTAAGCAAATTTATTGTCATTTTATTTCCCCACTCCCCACCACGCACATCAGGACCACAGTGCTCACCTCCCAGGTCTGCGAGAGTCGGCTGACAGAAGCAGTGTTGAGACCCATCACAATAGCAAAGAAAGAATTCAGGTTTCTCTGGGCCTTGCAGCTATGGAGAAAGTAGAGGACACTTTGAGGAAATATCCTTTTGCCAACTGATCACAAAAGATAAAGCTGAGAAGGACTGTCCTAGGCCACGGGGTTCAGGAACTCTGCTGTACAGCCCAGGTACCCTTCACCCCCTCCCCCCACCCAGCTGTTTCTAACACAAAGAAATGATAAATGATCACAAATGCTGCAGTTCATCTTTACCTTTAGGAAAAGATCTGTGCCCTGGACAATGTCCTGACATTTCACAAGATTCCTTTTTCTTTTTTTTTTTTTAACCTAGTTTGTGTACATTTACAATTCCCACCGAATCCTCTTTTAAATTCACATTTCTTCATATATGCCACACTCTCCTTGTAACAGCTCTCTGGTCCCAGCTCTTTCATCAAAATGCTTTTTTTCGGTTTTTGACAGACAAGCCCCTCTCCCCACACAGGACTAAACTCCCACTCCCATTACATTTAGGCACAATTTTCTTTGCTGCCAACAAAATAGCTACTATATTATGTATATATTTAAAATATGACATATATTAGTGGGGCTACTGTTCCACACTTCTCACTTAAAGAAACAGGGAAATAAAATGCAAGGTGAGATCATGTTGGGCTCCATTCACTTCCTAAGGTTATCCATTCTGCATAACATCAATCACCCCCAGAGACTTAAAGGATCAACATTCCGCTAGTTTTCGAAGCCCGCTGGGAGGGCTTGGTATAACGGGGGAACTTGCCCTTCCTGGTCCGCCAGAACAGACTGTGAAACCCAGATACTCCTTTATCTGGAGAGCATTAGAACACAACTTCTCTGAGCTAAGGCTTTAACATCAAGAAATTACCCGACTCTGTAATTACATATGAGAAAACATGAAAGTACTTGGCAGTAAGCAGGGTGCATAACAGGGCCTAGTGCATATTAGTTTAGCTTCCCCCAGATGCCTTCTCTTCCATGACATCTCTACCAACGTCTCAAATGGAATCTGGACACAGTGTATGTGCACCTCTGAGGCCTGCTTTTTCAGTTAAATACCATTCAGTTAAATACCAGTTATATTATATAATATGGATTCTTCACTATCATCATTAATGGCTACATGATATTTCATCAAGAACACATTCTATAACTTATTCTTCTTTTATTGAATTTATTTTCAATTCCCCTATTATACAGAATGTTGCACTGAATATCTTTTGTATATAACTTTTTACTATATTTATGATTTTTTTCATTAAGTTAGACTTCCAGTCATTATGTGATTGATCAACAGCTACTAAGACTTTAATGGTTCTCAATACATATTACACACTGCTGTCCCCAAAGCTATACCGATTCTCTGTTGCACAGGTAGTGTATAAGAACGTCTAGTTCAGAACCAGGAAAATGGTTGGGCTGTGGAAGCAAGCAGGGAAGTCCAGAGTGGCTGTGCTCTGGCAGGTCCTGCCGGAACTGGCCCGGCCCTGGAGCCGGCCTCACCCACCCGGCACTGCCCAAATTCTGCTACTGCACCTGGGCTGTAAGCCAGGGGGCTCATGCCTGGGTGCATTTTAGGGGAGTTCTATCCCCTCTAACAGTGGACCCTGAAAGGGCACTGCTGCCTCCACACCAAGTGTGGAAGTTATCGGGGTGAACACACATCCTATAGGTACCTCACTGCTGAACCTCCACCAGGCACGGTCTGTCCCTCCCATAGTCCTCCTGCCCAGCTTTTGGCTCTGCTTGCAGTTTCTCAGTAGTGTGGGGCTCTGGACCTCAGCCCAAGTGACCCCTTCCCTGGTGTCTTGCCAGCTTTCTCCTGGATGGCCTCTGCTCGGTGTATTTCATGAACAAACCAAAACAAGATACTTCCTGGTGTATGATTTATAAACTCATCTGTTTTTGAGAATTGCTGCTGTATAAAGCTTCAATACTGTGACTCCACCTCCCTCCTGCTGTTCATGCCCCTCATTTTGCCCTTTCTGTTTCATTGCATCTTTTGAAAGTTCACACCAGCTAGAACACATCTGAGTTAGTGCCATCTCTTGACTTGACATTCTGAAATACTAGGCTCCTCTGCTGAGGCTCTTGTGTTCAGCAAGTATGGCTCCATCCCTCCTCCTCACTTGCTCCTGGGTTCTCCCACCTGGGTCCACCCTACCAGTGATGGAGGCCCCATTGGTTATACCATTCTTGATGCATAGTAGGTGCCTTAAGGCTGGAATCCTTGAGTACGTGTCTACTCATTTTCATACCTTGCCCATCACTCAACTGCTTAGTATTACACATAGCAAGCCTGTCAAACAGCATTTGTTGAAATTGAAAACAAGAACTTCTGGGGAAATGGTTTTACTATTATTCCTTATTTAAAAAAAAGTGTATTATTCCTCTTTTTATTCAGCATCATTTATCGATATGAAATCTTAGATATAATTCCCATCTTTTTATCTGTTAGTTCCTCGTAAACAATTTTCCTGGCACAGATAGCTTTCTTTTCTAGTCATACTTTAAGAAACAAAAACACACATAAAACATCTGAATCTGTTAAAAAAAAAAAAAAAGAAGAAGAGGATTTAATATAGACACAATTTCTGTAGACGACAAATTGACACAGTGCAAATATTAGATACCATTCTGGTCTGGAATCCTCTGTTACCAAGGGTCATTCATTCCATGATAAGAACAGTCTGCCTGACACTAAACATTCCAGTTCAGCAAACACTCCTTTGTCTCTGTGTGAGGAAATAAAATCCACTCAATCCACAGAGGTGGGGGATGGGAATGGTGAGGAGGAGGGGAAACATGAATATGCAAATAGGATGCCTTAGGCAGGAAAAACACTTCACAATTGTGGAAATTACTATTTTCCCTTGGTTATTCCCACCAGTGTGATTATAAGGAATTTAACTTTATGTTTCTGTTGGTATTCTATTCCACGGGCTAGGGACAGAGACCGCTACCATAAATAATTCAAGAGCATAGGGCCATATGGAGAAGATGTGAATATATTTCATTTCCCTAAGGATAGATATAATCTTATACTGGGGACTGAGCTGGGTGGTGTCATTTTACTCCCTGGAACATTAATTTCCCATTTCTCCACGTAACTGGTGTTTATAAGAAAGCTTTTTTACCCAAAAGAGAATTCAGGAATTTCAAAGGCTCTTTTGGAATACACTGGCAAAAAAAAAAAAACAAAAAAAAAACTCACCATAAAAACAACCTAAGATTTAGGCATATCTGTTATCTATCTTTCCATTCCCAGTCACATTAAATACCAGGTCAGGCACTTCCATGATCTCTTGCCTAAGACAAATTGTCCTGTTTCTGGGGTCTCCCTGCCTACGGTTCAGCCTGGGTGCTGCTTTCAGCCCCTTTCTGAAGACAACTCTGATCATACTGGCTTCTGCCCAACAGCTTCCAAAGGACCCTTCTCCCTTGTCAATTCAGTTCGAGCTCTTCAATCTGAAATTCAAGATCCTTTACAGTTTGCTCTCATCTTCCTTTGCAGATCAATCTCCCTCTCCCACAACTTCCTTACAATACCCCTTCATATTTGCCAAATTGGATGAGTTTTCCTTCCCTGACCACAGGCACTGCTTCTGTCTCCAATAAGTTTCCCCCCACCCCTCCCCATGGGATGTGCTGTTTGAATTCTTACCTTCAAATCCCACCCAGAATTCAAACAGAGCCTCAAAAAGCTGCCTCCTTCACAAATGTCTTCCTGATCCTGCCTCCCGCACCCTTGGGGGTGAGCTTTCCTCCTCTAAGCCCCAAACAGAATTAGATCTAACACCAGGGCAGTCCCTCACTCTATTTTGCACAGTAGCCAGATGAGTTACAGAAGTGTAGCCCAGTAGACTGCAAGCTCCCCACGTGGAGGCAGGACTGGGTGTAGCCTCAGTCTGATTTCCCCACACTATCTTGTACAGGTCTGCACATGTCATGAGTGATCAACAGATATTTCCTGGATATATTGCATTCACATGTACTTGAAAATTGTTTGATATCAAAACTACTTTGGAAGACAAAGGAGAAATGAAATGGGAAGCCTGGGAGGCAAGAGGAGCTTAAAAAAGGTTTTGATCCACATTGCCTGCTTCTGCTGGGAGTGCTTGCCCAAAGGACAGTCTCAGGATACTAACCTGGTGTTTTAAGAGATGCTCCCAGCAAGTTAGCAAAATTTCATTCAACCAACAATTACTGAGTCACGGCTGTTTACCAAAGTCTGTACTAGGCACCAAGGAACAATAAGTGGTTAGAAATGGTCCCTGTTCTTCGGGACCCAGTGAAGGAATCCTAAATAAATTATATCTAATAAACATAATAAAAAAAGTTTTTGAAAGACAATAAGTATGTGTGTGCAGAGGGAAAGTAGTTGACCCTGCATCTGAAAGTTAGGTATGACTTCAGGAAGGAAGGAACATTTGCCTGAGGTCTTGAAGAATGGAACAATTTGGGGGGGGTGAAAGTGGCCATTTTTGCAGAGCCAGCTCAAGTTTCCAGGCTTGGGGGATGATGTGCATGGGAAAGAAACAGACATTCAGAGTGGCTGGAAAACAAGGTGTACCCAGTGGGGGAGGCTCAGAGGTAAGCTGGGCCAGCCAGTGCAAGGCCTTCTGACCAGCGAGTACGCAAAAGTTCAGACTGTGGCTATTGAGGAACAATGAGCAGAATCCTTGAATGCATGTGATTTGCGATGGTTCCCATCCCTCACGTCATCTCCCTTTATTTCCCAGCCTACTGGAGCTCACCCAGCCCACTGCAGCTCAGCTGCAGGATGGAGGATGTGTGCGCTGCCTGCTTATTAGCTCTGAAGCATAGGGCACAGTGCTTCCATCAGATATTTTGACATTTACTTAAGATATAAATACTTCAAATGCAAAGACATAAATATTCAAGAACAGACCTTTTCAAACATTGGTCACTCAACTCAATAATATACTTTTACACCCCAACCCAAAAAACAATGCATTCTCTCAAGGAGATGAGAGAATGGCACTTTGCACCACTGCAAACTTACTGAGCCGC